AGGGAAACTACCTTAGAATGGCAGATTCCATGTGACACATGTCCTTTCCCAGGTTGGGAAGCTGCTTTAGTTTGGTTTTGATAGCAAAAAAACAATAAGGTGAAGAAAAGCACCTTATTGGGGCCTGTGTCCTGATACCTTTCCCATGGTAAGAACAAATGTATGTTACTCATATTCTATTCCCGACAGTTGACACCAAAGCCAGGGCCCTGCTGAAGACAGGAAGGGTTGAAGGAATCATAAAAAGGGAGCCCACAGTCACCTCCACTACTACAGGGCCTGTATGCTTTAACTCTGCCAGACATACTAAGTGTCAGTTTTAAAAAAATTCTAGGGGCGGGCGCTGTGGCAGAGCAGGTAAAGCCTCCACCTGTAGTGCCGGCATCCCATAGGGGAACCGGTTCTAGTCCCGGCTGCTCCACTTCCCATCCAGCTCTCTGCTATGGCCTGGGAAAGCAGTAGAAGATGGCCCAAGTCCTTGGACCCTGCACCCACAGGGGGACCTGGAAGAAGCTCCTGGCTCCTGGCTTCAGATCGGTGCAGCTCTGGCCATTGCGACCATTTCAGGAGTAAACCAGTGGATAGAAGACTCTCTCTCTCTCTCTGCCTCTCCTTCTCTCTCTGTGTAACTCTTTCAAATAAATACATCTTTAAAAAATAAAAAATCTGGAAATTAGAGAATTTTTTTAAAAATTAAGGGGGCCAGCACTGTGGCATAGTGGGCTGGGTCTCCGCCTGTAGCACTGGCATCCCATATGGGTGCCAGTGTGTGTCCTGGCTGCTCCTCTTTCAATCCAGCTCTCTGCTATGGCCTGGGAAAGCAATGGAAGATGGCCCGAATGCTTGGGCCCCTGCACCCATGTGGGAGATCTGAATGAAGCTCCTGGCTCCTGGCTTTGGATCAGCCCAGCTCTAGCCATTGCGGCCATTTGGGGAGTAAACCAGAAGATGAAAGACCTTTTTCTCTGTCTCTCCCTGTCTGTAACTCTACCTATCAAATAAATAAATAAATTCTTAAAAAAATTAAGGATTATTTCTGGCTGGACATTTGGTGCAGTGGTTGGATCACTGCGTGGGACACCTACATCCCATGTCGGGGTGCCTGGTTGGAGTCCTGGCTACTCCGCTTCCTGTACAGCTTCCTGCTGATGTGCACCCTGGGAGGCCGCGGATGGTAACTCAGGTGCTCATGTCCCTGCCCTCAACCTGGGAGACCAGGATGGATTTTGGTCTCCTGGTTCAGCCTGGCCCACCCTGGCTGTTATGGCCATTTGCAGAGTGAACTAGCAGATGGAAGATCTCTTTTCTGTCTCTCTCTGCCTTTCAAATAAAGTGAAAATAAATAAATGAAAGAGAATTATTTCACGAGGCAGTTCCTATTTATATTCAGTGTAGCCCCACTTAAAGCTTCTGTTGGTGCTCCATCCATTGCTTTAGAGCTGTGACACGGCGGCCTGTCAGTGGCAGAAGCCTTCTGATTCCTGGGAGAGGACTGGCATTTGCACCTGCTCAACTCACTTGGCAACTGTTGACCTGTCAGTGCAGTGAGTAGTGGTCACTTCCCCTCAGGACAGGATCTAGGGAACAACCTTAAGGATCATGGTAAAAAAAAAAAATCATGTCCTTTATGGTTGGGGTGAGGGTAATGCAGATACAAATGAGAACTGGGTACTTTAATACTGTCAGAGTGTGCTGTGTTTTATTTGGGAAATGAGACAAAATCTTCCCATGATCAGCCACTCCATGTGACATCCCAACCCACACTCTGCTACTGACATTTTATCTCCCACTGAACAGCCCGGCTGTTGTAACATTTTCAGGATTCTTAATTTATGCCTTGTAGGATCTAAAATCAGATGGCAGGAACTTTAAGAAAATAACCAGTGTTGACAGGCACCTTTCTACTTAAGGAAGCTGCTATACCTTAGCATTGCTGAAAGTTGGGGTACTTCTCTACCTTCTCCTTCCAAACAATGTCCAGAAGTCAATGGACAGAGACAGAGAGCCACCATCCTAAGTCATGTAACTCCTTTTTTCCATCTGAACTCCTTGAAAGACCTTTCCCTCCACCCAGTCACCCAGTATGTGCTAGCAAGCTCATTTCTTTTGCTTAGTAAGAGGGATTGCAGCATTTAGTTAGCTTAAATGACAGCAACCAAGACAAGTTTATGGCAACATTCCTTATTTTTAAAGATTTATTTATTTGTTTGAAAGGCAGAGTGACAGAGAAGCGAGAGAAAGAGAATGACAGCAAGAGGGCACTCGAGAGATCTTCCATTCGCTGGTTCACTTCTCAAATGACCACAACAGCCAGGTCTGGGCAAGGCTGAAGGCAGGAGCCTGAACTCCATCCAGGTCTCCCTGGATGTGGGTGGCAGGGGTCCAACTCCTTGGGCAATCATCTGCTTCATTCCCAGGTGCATTAACAGGGATATGGATTAGAAGGGGAGAGCCAGGACTTGAATTGGTACTCTGATGGTGGTGGTGGGGGGATGCTGGTGTCACAAGCAGTGGCTTAGCTTGTGCCAAACAACCAGCCCCGGGTCACTGACATTCTTATATATGATTCATAAAGCCAAGAACTAGGGAAAAGTAAAATGGCCCAGAGATAAAATCTCTGCAACTTAGTGTAAGCTTTGTAGCTTACCCTCCTGTGATTCTTAGATCACTGGTGAGGGAAGATGATGATGACAGTGTTACCTGGTAAGTGAGCCTCAGGAATTGTAGATAACTAGTCCTCAGTCATGCAGCCTTGAAGAAATGGGGACTTAAGCTCAAATCTCTCTCTCTCTCTCTTGAGATTCTGTTATTGCTATGAAAAGCATCAGTTTTGTCCTAACTTAGCAGATGAATCTGTAGAAACTTTTGCTGCCCAGGTTACTGGCAGTGGTGAATACTTGGGGCCTTTGAGCTTAGGCCTAACAACTCCAGAATGCTGTGGCTCTGGAGGGTTCGGCCTCGAACCTCTTCTTCTCAGAATGGTTTTATATCTATGAACACTTGAAAGAGTTCATGGGTGAAGGGGCAGGTGTTGTGGTGCAGCAAATTAAATTGCTACTTGGGACACCCACATTCCATATCAGCGTGCCTGGTTTGAATCCCAGCTCCTCTGCTTTGCATCTGGCTTTCTGCTAATGCACCTAGGAAAGCATTGGATGAAGCCTCAAGTACCTGGATTCCTGCCACTCACGTGGGAGACCTGGGTGGAGTTCTAGGTGCCTGTCTTCATCCTGGCCCAACCGTGGCTCTTGTGGGCATTTGGGGAGTGAACCAGCAGGGGGAAGATCCCTCTCACCTACTTTTTGTCACTCTGCCTTTCAAATAAGTATCTTTTTAAAGTTCATGGAAAATGGAATTAAAATGTTTACCTTGGTGAAGAAATTTTTTGAGGGGCTGGCACTGTGGCACAGCAGGTTAATACCCTGGCTTGAAGCGCCAGCATCCCATATGGGCGCCAGTTCAAGTCCCAGCTGCTCCACTTCTGATCCAGCTCTCTGCTGTGGCCTGGGAAAGCAGTAGAATATGGCCCAAGTCCTTGGGCCCCTGCACCCACATGGGAGACCCGGAAGAAGTTCCTGGCTCCTGGCTTCAGATCGGCACAGCTCCGGCTGTTGCGGCCATCTGGGGAGTGAACCATCAGATGGAAGACCCCTCTCTCTCTCTCTTTCTCTCTCTCTCTGCCTCTCCTCTCTCTGTGTAACTCTTTCAAATAAATAAATCTTTTTTTAAAAAGATAAATTTTTTGAAATCTATGTATGTGAGGGGTCTTCCAAAATTTCATGAAAAATGCATATTGTGAGAAAGCTATGCATGGATTCCAACAAAATAAACTTTTCTTTTAATTGCGTTTTCTACAAATGTTTTGAAGTGCCTTAGTCGTGATCTGATGAATATGCAGGAGTCCAGGCTCTGGAGCCAGTGGCGTTGCTAATCGCTGCCCTGGGCCAGTTACTTAGCTTCTCTGGGCTCATTTCTGTAAAACGGAGATAACAGCAACTACCTCATGGGAAAGTTAGAGTTTATGGAAAAGGCTACATAAAAGTTGGTATCACTCATCAGTTTGCCACAAGCTTTCATAAATGCACACCAATAGTATGCTTGTGAAAATTTGTGGTTAGATGATAAAGCTAAGAAAAGCGTTAGTGCATCCCGGGAGAAGTGGGTAAACTTTATACTATTATACAGTACCTTGCACACCGTTTGAGGCTTCAAAAACACCTTTAAACGAACTGAATACTACCAGAACTCAAAGTGGTAGTTTCAGGCCCTTCAGGCTCAAGGTCCAGATTTTGCAAGTGTTTCTACTCACTTCTCTGCTCATTTATTTCCAAGGGCAGAGGCCAGGGAAAGCATGAGCTATCTGCTCCGGTAACACTCTGGTGAGAGTAGACCCAGTTCTGAGAACCGGCAAGTTTTACCTCCTGGTGCCTGAGGTTTAGATCACTCTGTGTATTTCCTCTGACAAAGCCTAGGCGGTACTAATTAGCCCCTCCGCAGGTGTTTGCTCCTACTCCCAGGTTGCCAGGGGAAGCCCGGGCGACCGATCCCTAGCTCCTGAGGAGACTAAGAGCGGGGCGCTTCCCGAGGTGTGACAGGTCAGGAGGAGAGCAATGAGACTGCGAACAAGTGAAATGTGGTAGAGAGAGGCTAAGCCTTTAATACTCAAGGTCTCACCCGGAGACACCTGCTCTTCCCGCCCCGTCCCCGCCCCCCTGTGTCAAAGCCCCGCCCCCCTGCCCCCGGCCGCACCTGGGCAGCCCGGCTGTGTCAGTAGTACGCTTGCGCACTGCTTCAGGCATCTTGGCAATGCCCGACTGTCAATGGCGGACGGGTCCCCTCGCGTTTTCACAAATCTCTGCACAGCGGCTTTCTGCGATCTCTTCGAGCTGGTTCTGCCTTTCGTTGTCTTGAGAACCTGCCTTCTGGTTCTCTTGCTTGGCTTAAGAAGACAAGTTTTAAATTAGGCGGTCTGCGGGCAGCCCGCGTCCTGGCGCAGGGTCCTTATGTTGCGTCTTGGGCCGGACGCCCGGGAGGCCGGGTCCTTCTTTAGGGCGGTCGCGCAGGCAGCGGCTGCAGGAAGCCGGGCTCCGGGCGTCATGTACTACAAGTTTAGTGGCTTCACGCAAAAGTTGACGGGAGCATGGGCTTCGGACGCCTATTTCCCGCAGGTACGGGTCGCACCGCCCGGGCTCGGACAGGGGACGTGGAGGCCCAAGCTTCCGCGCTAGGCGGTCACGGCCTTGTAGCCGGTAGCGGCTTCTGTCCGCAGTTCGGCTCGGTTCGCGCAGTACCTTCTGGCATCTCTCCACACGGACTTGCCACGGTCATCGAGGCTCCTGGTTGTGTAGCTGTTCTTTCGGCAGTGCTAGCTTTGCGCAGAAGCGTGGTCTGGCACTCTGCAGGGGTCAAGGTGACCCCCGGGATCGTTGTTGGTCTTAAGTGGATGACTGGTGGGGTCGGGAGGGCCCAGGATGGGACTTTGCTATGTCCACTGCCCGGCCTTTTCCTTCTCTTTTAGGCGGTCCAGCTTTTGCTCTCCTCAACGTCCCTTTGTTACCCTCCCCCCCAAGCACATCGGCTGATGTTCAAATGCAGCCTCACCCACGCACGAGATTGGAAAGTGGGAATCAAGGCTCCCAGAGAAGCCGCGGGGTGGGAGCGGCCGTACGATCCGAATTGGGAGATTTAATGGCTTTTCTCAGCCGTCCTGGGGGAGCTTTGGAAGTTAAATGGAGCAAGGTTGCACTTTCTCAAGTGTAACGTGGTAGGGGTGCCTGAAAAGGTTTCATTCAGATTCTACCAATTGGAACTTAAGTCTCCATCCTGAGTGGCGAAAAGACGTGGAATTTTAGAGTACCGGGCGGATTTGGGCTGGAATCCTGACTTTTGCTGCTTTACTCATGTGACCTTGACCCAATTGCTAGCTATAGTGTGAGCTCAGCTTCATCTGCGGTCGCTTGAGTACAGGTTAAATGAAGTGTGACACGTGACTAGCAATTTGGGCATGTTTGTTTCTGGGTTAGTGATAGCTGTTCTCCGGCTGAGTCCGAGTTCTCATCGTGTGGGGAAGGTTGACTGGACTAGTCGGGAGCCCAGGTGTGGTGGAAAGACTATCACATGGCTGCCGCTGCCGCCTCTTCCTTGAGACACTGCAGCGTCCCCAAGTGGACAGTAATGATTACAATTTCGGATTAGATATGTTGTTAACAAGGATGAGGTGGGCAAGATAGGGGTGGAGATGTGGAGAGTTTCGGACTTGCTTATAAGTGTCGAACTGTGATAATATGTAGCAGCTGGATGTATGACTATGGCATTTAATAGACACCTGGGTGTCTGCAGCCCAAAGGTGTTAGTAGAATTTGTGCAGGGAAGAAAAGTGAGACGATGATTATATTACAGAAACATGAAGGCCGAGTGGAGGAGGAAAATTTATTAAAAAAAAAAAAAAAAAGTCCAGAATTAGAAGTGAAACCACTGTGGTGTTCCTGAAATTCAGTTGGTTATGAGTTATAAGGGAAAAATTGTCCATGAGGTTGCAGTGATTTCTTTACAGATTACGTGGGGTCATTAAGTGCACATTTCTGTCACAAGTTTATACCATAAAGCTTGTTTTCCAGTGCATGGATCTCAATTGTTAGCTTGCTGAGTTTTGACAAATACTGTGTGTGACCCACGTTCCTCTCAATGTGCGTCAGTGTTAAATAACCCCTGGAAGTTTCCTGGTGCCCTCTCCCAGTGAATTCCTGCCCCCTTTCCTACTATGACTGTCATCATGGCAATAGTTTTGTCTGTTTTTTTAACTTCATGTAAATAAGAGCACACATACTACTCTTCTGTGTAAGGCTTGTTTTTCTTAATGTAACATTTTTTGAGGTTCATCTATGTTACAGGAATCAGTAGTTTCTTTTACTGCTCCATGGGGTTCCGTTGTATGAATATAGCATGGTTTGTTTTAGTAGTGGTTGTAAGCTTTTTAAAAAAGTGTCTATTTTCATCTTGAAATGCAGAGCAAGAGAGATCTTCAGTCTACTAGTTCATTCCCCAGATGTGCACTCCGTCAGGGTTAGGCCTGGTGAAGCTGGGAGCTCAGAACTCCATCTGGGTCTCCATGAGGGTGGCAGGAATCCAAATGCTTGAGCCATTATCTGTTGCCTCCCAGGATGCATTAGCAGGGAGCTGGATTGGAAGGCAAATAGCCAAGACTTGAACCAGCACTCAGATATGGGCTGTAGGTGTCCCAAGAGGCAGCTTAACCGCTGCACCACACTGCTTGCCCTGATATTCTTTATAAACTAGGTGTATTGCCTACGAAGGAAAAGGTAAAATTGATACATTGAAATAAAGCTGGCACCCAGCAGAGATTAACTTGTGATGTATTTGGTGTAGATAGGGTGTTCAGATTTCTTGCACTTCTTGAATTAATTGTATTTCTCTTGAGAATTAGAAGTTCTTAGTTAGGTTTCTTAAATTATGATGAAAGAAGTGCTACTGTGTAGGCTTTATGAATTGTAGATTTCAGAATGTGACAGTTAACCCCACCCCCAACCAGGTGCTCTGACTTTGATAATTAGGAGTACTTTAACTTTTCCTTTCTTGGAAACATTAGCATGCTATGAAATGAAGATGTTTGTAACTTTTGGTATTATGTAAAGTGAATAACTTGACATTCATTAAATAACCTAATATGGAAAAAGCTAGTTCTGTAACAATAGCACAGGTAGAGATTTATGTCGTCTCGATGGCATTGTCATTAATGAGATGAGCAGGGACATATTTGAGGCTTAAAATTCTAGGTTGGGGCACCTGCAGCCCTGGGGTAAGCAGAGGTGAAGCAATTTACTTTGGGTCCCTTCCTGTAAATACAGTTTTCTGGTCAGGTCCACGCTTAGGAAATCTAGTGCTGGAAGTGCAACTGTCTTGAAACATTGCTACCATGACTGCTCTTCAGTTGCTGGCAGGGTTAATTATGGGTAGGTGAAAAATACTTCAGCATTATAGTCATTCCTTTTTCCTGTGGGACCAGGACAGCTGAATTATTGATAGTGTGGTATAATAAAAGCACCTGAGTTTGTATCCCTTCCTATGGAACCTGGGCTTTGTTTTAATCACCTATTAGGTGGGCTTTTACAGAATTGTGAACAGTGAATTCAGTGACAGTTATAAAGATTGTGTAGGAATCTGGGAAAAGATTACAAATGAAAAAACAATGTAGAATTTTACACTGACTGTAAAACTTGTTAAATTAAGCATATGAAAAAAATGGGGCCAGCATTGTGACGTGGTGGGTTAAACTGCCATCTGCAATGCTGGCATTCCATAATAGGTGCCAGTTCAAGTCCTGACTGCTCCACTTCTAATCCAGTTTCCTGCTAATGCACCTAGGAAAGCAGTGGAAGATGGCCTAAGTCCTTGTGCTCCTCCACCCATGTGGGAGACCCAAAGAAGCTCCTGGTTCTTGGGTTGGGCCGGGCCTGACCCAGCCTCTGTCATTGCAGCCATTTGGGGAGTGAACCAGCAGATAAAAGAGCTTTCGCTTTCTTGCTCACTCTCTACTCTGCCTTTCAAATAAGTGATCTTGATTCTGTATTCTAAACTTTGACCGTATTGTAAGTGGAAATAGGAAATTGTTTAAAACTATTAATTGATATTCTTGTTTTCAGATGATGCTGTTCAAAAATTGCTGTGGTTTTGAATCTTTGGATGGGTAAACAAAGCAGTTAACGATAATCTCTTCTAAAAATGCACTCACACTAGCCTTGTCAAAACATGAATTTATTTTAAGATTTATTTATTAAAAAAAATGGCCGGCGCTGTAGATCACTTGGCTAATCCTCTGCCTGTGGCGCCGGTACCCCGGATTCTAGTCCCAGCTGGGGTGCCGGATTCTGTCCCTGTTGCTCCTCTTCCAGTCCAGCTCTCTGCTGTGGCCTGGGAAGGCAGTGGAGGATGGCCCAAGTGCTTGGGCTCTGCACCCCATGGGAGACACGGAGAAAGCTCCTGGCTTTTTATCGGCCCAGCTCCAGCTGTTGTGGCCAGTTGGGGAGTGAACCAGCATGTGGAAGACCTCTCTCTCTCTGCCTCTGTCTGTCTCTCTCTAACTCTGACTTTCAAATAAATAAATGTGTCTTAAAAAATAAGCCAAGGCTGTGTACTTAGAGAGGCTTGGGTTTCACAGCTTGCTGTGTCCTTCTGCTAAATAACCATTGGCAACTTCTCTTCTCTGATCCAGTTTTCTCCTCTGTGAAGTGGGAATAGTGACATTTCTTCAGGGTTTCTGTTGGGATTAAATAGTCTTGCACATGAAATGCTTAACATGACGCTGGGCACAAAATGAGGGATAACTGGATGTTAGCCGCTGGTACTCCAAAACATTAGCATCTGTAAAGGCAGAATGTGGCTGTTCAGTCCTAGTGTATTTCTGGTATAGAGTAAGTGGTCAGTAATGTGTATTGAATGAGTTAGTGCGTTACAAAAACAGGCCATTTCCCATTTATCTGTGACACAGAAAAATGGAAGCCACGTTTATTTAGTACAATTTTGTTGCCTTGTCGAGCTTAATGCCTGCCTGGTGGGAATAACATTGATGTTATAGGTATCAGTAAGAGATAAGAACCGGGAGTCTGATCACTGTATTAATTTGGGTAACAGGTTTCCTTTTTTGTCTTTAAACTAAAGAGAGTGGGCTTGTACTCTGATTTCCAATTTAAAAATTTTATTTTTCCTAGTTAGGATTTAATATGAAAATACGATTTTACTGGTCTGTAACTCTTAGCTCCTTATTTTGGTCTGCATGTTTAGGGAGAACTGTCTTATCTGTCACTTTACACATATGCCTTCAGCTAAAAAATTAGTGTTCCCCTCGAGTTCTGCTTTTTTTCTTTTTTTTTTTTTTTTTGAACAGAGTGGACAGTGAGAGAGAGAGAGAGAGAAAGTTCTTCCTTTTTGCCGTTGGTTCACCCTCCAATGGTCGCCGCGGCCAGCGCGCTACAGCCGGCACAGCGCGCTGATCCGAAGCCAGGAGCCAGGTGCTTCTCCTGGTCTCCCATGCAGGTGCAGGACCCAAGGACTTGGGCCATCCTCCACTGCACTCCCGGGCCATAGCAGAGAGCTGGCCTGGAAGAGGGGCAACCGGGACAGAATCCGGCGCCCCAACCGGGACTAGAACCCAGTGTGCTGGCGCCGCTAGGCGGAGGATTAGCTTAGTGAGCCACGGCGCCAGCCCTGCCTTTTTTTTTTTTTTTTTTTTAACAGCTTTATTGAGATATAATTCACATACTGTACAATTGAGGGGTCTTCATTGTATTCATATATGTGCAACTACCACCACAATTGATTTTAGAATATTTTCCTCATTCCCAAAAGAAACTTTACTGTTCAGCTGTCGCTCCCTTCTCCCCGCTCCTCCGCCTAAGCTGTCTCCTTTCTGTCTCGAGTTCCCTGTCCTGGACTCTCTGGGGTCACAGTCACGCAGCGGCTGGTCTCTAGGGGCTGACCTTTTCACTCAGCATAGTGTGTCAGCGTTGCCCATGCTGTAGCTTGTATTGGTGCCTCCTTCATCTCCTTACTTTACTCTACTTAGAGGTCTAATAGTCATGGAAAATTCAGTTACTTTATATTTTGTTTTGGTTTGTTTTCTGGTCCTAAAAGGGCAAGTGTGTGTTTTTGTTTTTAAACTATTACAGGCTGTTTGAGATTGAGTTATTGATACATTTCTGTAGTGTACTCTGGAGTTCGTATTCTATGTTCAACATATTCCTCCAGGGAAGAGCCAGGCCCAAAGGTCACACAGATTATAAATGTTTTACTGGTTTGATGGGAGCTTAGATTGGGCCATTGTTTGTGCCTTTCCTCTCCCTCTCCCCATCTTAGTGCCTGGGAGTTCTTGACAGGGTTCTCTTTGGGAAAGGGGAATAGAGTGTTGTCAAAAGTCTGAGGACCAACTAAAGCCTTACAGTGCAGAGCTGGGGAGACGCTCCTTCCCTGTTGTGATTGGTTGGCTGCCTCTGCTATTCTGGACAGCCTGTTCCTTGAAAGGTTTGCTCCGATGCCACATGTACTTTTAACTTACCATTTCTCTTATTTTCCTGCAGGGATTAAAGCCTGTGGTTTCCACAGAAGCACCACCTATCATATTTGCTACCCCAACTAAATTGACCTCCAATTCTCCCGCATATGATTATGCTGGGAAAAACAAAGTTCCAGAGTTGCAGAAGTTTTTCCAGGTGAGAGAAGACACTCTAGAACATAGAAGCCTGTAAACTATGCTTTAAAAATCCCTTCTTAAAATGAGTCTTAGTCAAACTTCCTTTTTCTGTAAATAGAATTCTCTTGATTTTAGCTTGAGCCATAAATGGATAGGACTTTATATAAAGTGGGAAGGATGATTTTCAGATTTCCTGTACAGGTCTTGCTTGTCCTTTGCATGAAGGAAGCAATAGCATGTATGATGACACTGAGTAATCCAGTATATGTTTGGCTTTGTGATATATGCAATGACGTTTGCCAATGAGTTTTCTTCTAATTATTTGCTTGGTATTAAAATTCACTGACTTGTTCCTGGAATTACAAGAGGCCCCCTTGGCTTGCTGATCAACAGAGAAGTCAGCATTAGAATTTAAAATACTGTGCAAAGTTGATCCACCTACAGAAATGGAAAAGTTGGTCACCTGGCCTGTAACTCAGCTACAGTGGCAGTGACAGTGCCTCTTGTTATAGAGTGGCTTCTCTTTCCTCAAAAAATATGTCCTGATTCAAGTTCATTTTGGGGATAGAGCACTTTAATTTTGATCATTTTAATCCCTTTTTATATTATAAGATTTGAGAGGGCATTTAGAATCAGAATCTTAAGATACAGTGGGAAGGGATTTGGAGACAGTGCAAAATAATGAATTAAAAATCGTATGAATCTGACTATTAAATAGGGACTTAATAGTGTGGTAGAAAGAAGATAGTTGACTGGCTGACCCAGTGTGCTCTAACTTTGTCAGAACTACACAGAGTGTTTCTTGTGCGTGTGTTTGTTTACCTGCTGATTACTGTTGGCCTTTAAAATATTCACTATGCACCTTTCCTAGTTAAGTAATAGTTGATAAATCCTTAGCAATTTGGAATTTGTTGCATGCTCTTCGCTTTGGGCTGCATTTTGGAGAATGACTTTGGACTTAAAAGCTTTAATACACTGGCATTTTGGATAGCATTCTGAGGAATTAGGGCTTTTTCTACTGTGATGTATTGATGGATTAGTTATAAGGTAAACACATTTGTTCTATGTTAGCCTAAAATTGTAAAATCTTGTCCTTATCAACCATGTCCTTGTTAATTCTTGCTTTTAAGAAATCTGATGGTGTGCCCATCCACCTGAAACGAGGCCTGCCTGACCAAATGCTTTACCGGACCACCATGGCGCTGACTGTGGGAGGGACCATCTACTGCCTGATCGCCCTCTACATGGCTTCACAACCCAAAAACAAATGACTTAGACTGCAGAGGACTGGTTGGCTTTTTGGCATTAAACCCTTTGAGTTTTCACTTTTTGTTGTTTCTGTTATATCTTTTTTTTTTTTTTTTTTTTAATTTCAGCGGATGGTCTTCTTAACATTTTCCAGAAAAGAATGAAGAGAATATTTTGGTTTGTTCATGCATACATATGGCTTGCCAGATGACAGAGCTTATTTGACAGTTAAATCTATTGTTTAAAGAAATGATGCTGTGTTCTGTATTTGGGTTTCTGATTTCCCTGGAGGTTTTGGATGAAGGTTGCACACGGGCTGATTAACAGCAGCCTGTGCTGAGGTCTCCAGAGACTTGGAGTTAACATTTTTGAGCATGGGGTGCAGAAGCCTTTCTGGATTTGGATGTGACTAAGGAAGGAAGACAAGCCAAGGCCAGGCACATGTACTGAGGATGAGTTAGGCACCTTGGGGATTTTTCCCTCTTGCAGCAAAATGTAATAGAAATTGTGTGCAGCCTGCCTCTGTTCATTGGTCACTTTGTTTCAAAGGGTTATTTGGCTTCTTAGTGAATTTTTATATGTCATTGTTGTGTATTTATTCCACCCTGGGAACAGAGAACACCTGTTTAGTATTGCCCTTTAGAGTGGTGTCTGTTTTGTTAATGCAGCTGTGCCACAAATTCTCTTTTGTCTTTTAAAAATGTTATGGCTTTAAATTATAATTTATTTTGACTGTGTAATAAATACATGAACGAAAAATTTCAAGTTGGAAGTTGTTTTAAATTAAATGACTTTTCAGAATAATTTTAGAACACCAGAGGCATCTTGGATTTTTTTTAATTGGGCACCAGATAATAGTTAAACAGTTCCTCAAAGTCAAGTAATACAATAGGATTCTTTTTTTTTTTTTTTTTTGACAGGCAGAGTGGACAGTGAGAGAGAGAGAGAGAGAGAGACAGAAAGGTCTTCCTTTTTCCATTGGTTCACCCCCACAAATGGCTGCCATGGCCAGTGCACTGCATCGATCCGAAGCCAGGAGCCAGGTACTTATCCTGGTCTCCCATGGGGTGTAAGGCCCAAGTACTTGGGCCATCCTCCACTGCACTCCCTGGCCACAGCAGAGAGCTGGCCTGGAAGAGGGGCAACCGGGACAGAATCTGGCGCCCCAACCGGGACTAGAACCCCGTGTGCCAGCGCTGCAAGGTGGAGGATTAGCCTAGTGAGCCACGGCGCCAGCCTACAATAGGATTCTAATGACATGCTAATGATTTCCATATGGTTTCTTGTAAAAAACCTGCTTATCCCTTTGTGAAATGTGCCTTTAATTCACAGTTCATTTAGACACTAGCTTCCTATGCTGTAATAATTTGCAGACCTCACTTACCCTGTATTAATTCTGGAAAATGGAATTTTATTATATATATAATGTATATATATAGTTCTTTACGTATATATACAAAATGATGATCTGTGTCTTGCCATGGCAAAGAACATTGACTTATTACTGAGGATAAAATATTTGAAAATACTCAATAGCATTGTAATAAAAGGAAGCCCTATATGTCTGTACAGATCTAAATTTCAGACTCTAGAAAGATGCTAAGAGTAGTACAGTGTACATTGTGTATTCTTCACTGAGATCACCAGTTATTGGTGTATTGAATCTTTTTTTCTTGCTCTCACACACAGACACACACGTGGCATGAATCTTAAACCTGGGTCTAAGGCTTGTTTTTTGCAGAATCATTTAAGATTAAGTTACAGGATTATCAGAAATCAGCCATAGTCATTTGGCAAGTACTATCTCCCAAGAGTAAGGGCATATGCCTTCATAACCATAGCACAGTTGTCACACTCAGTAAAGTTAACATTGGTTACAGGTAAAACAATCTAATAGAGTCTTTTCAGATTACTTCAGTGTCATAATAATATGCCCTTGATACTTGTGTTTTTTTTTTTAAACAGCTTCGTTGGGATCTAATTCATACACCGTACAGTTTACCTAAAGTGTACAATTCAGTGGCTTTTATAGTATTCAAAGTTGTACAGCCATCACTACAGTCAATTTTAGAACATTTTGGCCGGTGCCGCGGCTCACTAGGCTAATCCTCCACCTGTGGCGCCGGCACACTGGGTTCTAGTCCCGGTCGGGGCGCCAGATTCTGTCCCAGTTGCCCCTCTTCCAGGCCAGCTCTCTGCTGTGGCCAGGGAGTGCAGTGGAGGATGGCCCAAGTGCTTGGGCCCTGCACCCGCATGGGAGACCAGGAGGAGTGCCTGGCTCCTGGCTTCGGATCGATGCAGTGCGCTGGCCATGGCAGCCATTTGTGGGGGTGAACCAATGGAAAAAGGAAGACCTTTCTCTCTGTCTCTCTCTCTCTCACTGTCCACTCTGCCTGTCAAAAGAAAGAAAAAAAAAAGTGGAGCAACAGCCTGGACATGAACTGGTGCCCATATGGGATGTCGTTATTGTAGGTGATGGCTTTGCCTGCTACATTGCACCACTGGCCTGTATTGGCAATTTTTATAACTGAATAATACCTGATTGTGTGGATATACCACACTTTGCTTAGCCATTCATCTGTTGATGGACATTTGGGTTATTTCTAGTTTGTGCTGTAAGGAATAATGCTGCTATGAACAACAGTGAAGGTTTCTATGTGAACATAATTTCCTGTTCTCTCGGGTGTATACTTTGGGGTGGAATTGCTTGGTCATATGTAACTGTTTAACTTTTTGAGGACTACAGGCTTTCTAACTCAGCTGTACTATTTTACATTCCTGCCAGAATTTTTTTTTTAAAGATTTTATTTATTTGAAAGTCAGAGAGTTAGAGAGAGGAGAGGCAGAGAAAGAGAGAGGTCTTCCATCTGATGGTTCACTCCCCAATTGGCCGCAATGGCTGGAGCTGCGCTGATCCGAAGCCAGGAGCCAGGAGGTTCTTCAGGGTCTCCCATGTGGGTGCAGGGGCCCAAGGATTTGGACCATCTTCTACTGCTCTCCCAGGCCATAGCAGAGAGCTGGATCAGAAGAGGAGCAGCTGGGACTTGAACCGGCACCCATATGAGATGCCGGCGCTTCAGGCCAGGGTGTTAACCTGCTGCACTACAGTGCCGGCCCCTGCAGATTGTTTTTTTTAATTTAAAAAAATTTTATTTATTGAGGTGTACTTTTCTAGCTCTGGCCCCTGACTCCAGTTTCCTGCTAATGCTTACTCTGGGCAGCAGTGGTTATTGGGTCCTTGCCACCCACATGGGAGACCTGGACTGAGTTGCTGGCTTTTGGCTCAGGCCCTGGGCCAGCCTTGGCCATTGTGGGTATTTGGGGAATGAAGTAGCAGATGGGTGCCTGCTGTTTTTGTGTATCTCTGAGAGACAGTCACTTGAGCCATCACCACTGCTTTTCAGGATCTGTGTTAGTAGGACACCAGAGTCACGAGCCAGTGCTGGGAACTGGAGCTCGGGCACTCAGGCTAGGATGGGCGCACTTTAACTGCTAGGTGGACACCTGTTCCCTGGTGTTTTGTTTTGGGTCCAGGATCCAGTTGAGGATCATACATTGCATTTAGTTGTCTCTTTCAGTCTACTTTTGTCCACAATGGTCCCCGTTGTCCTTCCTGAATTGACTTGTTTGAAGAGTCTGGGTAAATTGTTGGTAGGACATACTTCAATTTGAAGGTGTCTGATTGTCTCCTTACTGTTGGTTTCAGGTTAAACATTTTTTTAAAGATTTATTTGTTTTAAGGTCAGAGTTAATAATGGGCCAGGCTGAAGTCAGGAGCTTCTTCGGGTCTCCCACGTGAGTGTGAGGGGCCCAAGCACTTGGGGCATCTTCTGCTTTTCCAGGTGCATTAGCAGGGAGCTGGATCAGAAGTGAAGTGGTTGGAACTTGAACCAGCACCCACGTGGGGTGCTGGTATTGCAGGCAGCAGCTTAACCCAATAAGCCTCAGTGCTCGCCCTCAGGTTGAACCTTTTTGTCAGAAATTCTTCATAGATGGTGTGGCGGCCCTTATGTCAGGTGGCACTTGATTCCAGTTAATTCTATTTGAATTTAGTTAAGATGTTAACTGCCAGCTTTCTCCCTTGTGAAGATGCCCTTTCCCCTCTGTAGTTCATAAGCCACCTGGGGTAATTTGAGTCTAGAAATATCCTGTCCTCATTCGTTTTGCACCCAGTGTTAATGTTCATTGGTGGTTCTTAACAGAATTATTTTTGAGGGGGTTGTAACAAAAGCGACTGTCTGTTCTGTCATTCCTTCTGCATTACAAACATCTTCCTGTGAAGATGAACAGTCCTTTAAAATAATTTTACTATAATTTCTGCAATCAGAGTGTAATACCTGTGCTTGCTATTAGTCATTTCCATGCTGAAGTGCAGCTCCATTGTGGCCTCTGTGTGGTGCTGACATCCCCTGTGAGTCTTTCAGCATTTCCTTACTTTGTGACACACAAGATGATTCCCACGTTGACCTTGTGTTTTCCTACCTGAATTTCCTGTTTACTTTCAGGTATGCTCTATGAATATGAGTGTATATAAATGCATTTTCCTTTTGTTTTTGCCTAAACGGTAATTACTTCCTTGTCTCACTTGTAGTTTAGAAATTTTCTGCCTTATTTTTCTGGATGGTACTCCATTTTATGAATGCACATGGTTTGTTTAATTAGTGTCCTTTTGATAGGTATTTATTTTTAAATTCTTTTTTTCTTTTTTAAATACAGCTTTAGTGTATCAGTTCTTTATTTTTTTAATTTACTTTTATTTGAAAGGCATAGTTAATGTGAGAGAGTCTGTCATCTACTGATTCACTTCCCAAATGTCTGCAATGAGTGGGGCTGGGCCAGGCTGAAGCCAGGGGCCTGGAACTCCATCCTGGTCTCCCATGGGGGTGGCAGGGATCCAAGTACTTGGACCATCTTCTCCCTATTCATATTAACAGAGTAGCATCTGAAGTGGAGCGGCTGGGACTTGAACTGGCACTCCAGTATGCGATGCCAGCATTGCAGGCAGCAGCTTAGCTCACTGTGCCACACACCCCCCCCCAATTAAAAATTAAAATGTAGCAAGTTAAGCCTCCCAAAT